ATTTTGTTTTGTGTTGAGGAAAGCATAAGCAAAGTATTCAAAAAGCTCCTGAGGGACTAGCAGTTATGGCCAGAATCAACAGAAAGCGTGTGGGTAACTGGCATTTAGCCAAATGTGAGGGAGCAGCAGTCTTGGCTAGGAAATTACAGATACTCTTTTGGAACAGGAATGTGGTAAGGGTCTAACTTTAAGTCTAAGCTTCTACACAGTTGAGATGAATTCAAGAAATGACCCAACTCTTTCACTTATGTTTATAGAGGTTGTAGTTATAAAGACATGGATTTTACCTTCTTTTAGATTTCTTTTTTTTGAGGAAGCTTAGCCCTGAGCTGCCAACCCTCCTCTTTTTGCTGAGGAAGACTGGCCCTGAGCTAACATCCGTGCCCATCTTCCTCTACTTTATACGTGGGATGTCTGCTACAGCATGGCTTGCCAAGCGGTGCCATGTTCACACCCGGGATCTGAACCAGTGAGCCATGGACTGCCAAAGTGGAATGTGCGCACTTAAACGCTGTGCCACTGGGCCTGCCCCCCATTTAGATTTTTTCGTTTGTTTTTCTAATATTTATGAAGTCTTACTTTGTGCCAGAATTATTTAAGCATAACTCTGCCCTGAGTATAAATATAGTTAATTAGAAAGAAACATTTATTTAGAAAAGAAAGTTTTAATGTTATTAAGAGCTTGAAATAATCAAATTTTCCCTGCATGTATTCCAACTCCCTTCCATTCAATCAACATTGACCTTTAATTCACAGAATTTGTAAAATTTGTAATGAGGAGATATATTGACAAAGGTCTTATTATTATGAAAAAAGTGCAGGAAGAAAATTTCAGTGGCTGTAAACTATCGTAGTTTTATTTTCTGAAAAAAAGAAACATAGGACAAAAAAGGCATAGAAAGAAAATTTCAGTGAGTGTAAAATATGTTGTGGCTATTTGTTAAAATAAAATTATGTCTGTTACTTGAGAAGTATCCTAAAAATATCCCAACAACAAAGCTAACACTTTGAAAGCAAAGTGTGAAAAGGTACGTGACAAATCAGTGTGGTTTTCCCAACAAACACAGTAACATGCCCGTTAACATACCTTAGACAGTTCAGGTATGGTAAGTATTAAATTACACCTGAAACTGGTAATACAAATCTGGGCCAGAATGAAACATTAAAAAAAAAAGGCAATAGAATTGAGAGGGCGAAGAATAAGGGAAATCCTGAAGTTACTGAAGATATTATCAACTTAGGGAGCATATTGGAAAATTACATCAAACATAACTGATGAAAGAGTCAGCTAATATTTTTCCTTCTAGGCCAAAATGGCATATGACAAACAAAATAATCCTGAATTTTTATTTGGCCAGTCAACAATCCTAATAATTTAGTGGCAGAATAAGTGCTAAGTATCTTTGGATGACCTGAAAGGTATAGACAAGTAATGAAGCAGTTCATTTTACTAAATAATTCATTGTTTCAACAAATTGCCTTTAAAACCAGGTGGTAATGTTTTGTTTTCTTCAGACAGTTACTTAAGACCACTTTAAATGTAATACTAATAATCACAGTAGGGGGAAAATGTGTCTGACGTAGAAATCTCGCAGCTGCCGTATGAACGCACATGCCACCAAGATAGATTATGTTAACAGTAAGTGGCACTTGAAGAGCAGGCCTAATTAATGTGTGATTTCAGTTTGATTCGTTTCTCACCATACAGAACACAGCTCAATAAGAAGCTTATTTTAGTCCTTAAATCCTGTTTCACATAGAATCATTGTAAGTTACTAACATTTCACTTCTAAATTAGATTATAAATTTAATAAAAATGTCTTGTTAACTTGCATTCACCCAGCAAAAATCTTTATTCTTTATTTAGTTTTTCAGTAAGCTTTTACTCCATGTGATCTTAAGTCAACTGAATTTAACTGAAATGAAAATTGTATCTAAAGAAATTATTAATAATTCTCTGATTTGCGAGCACGTTTTTTTCTTTGGGGGCCTTGTTAGTTTTATAAGTACTGCTACAAATTTGAGTTTTTTATCATGAAAGTGCATCCTAATGTGAACAAGCATTAAACATTAAGTGCAACCTATAATTAACAAAGAAACAAAGAAGGAGCAATAATCTAAAGATGGTCATCTTTTTGCTGGAGTCTTGTCCTAACTCATCAGCAGAGAACATGCGTGGTCATAAAATACCACAATCATGCATTCTTTCCCTGTCAGAGTAAGCTACAGTAAGCTTGCCAAATTCCAACTCAGGGAGCTCCATCTCAGCCCGAATGCCTGCTGCTTTTTCAGTTGGGGGAATTATTTCTACTCCCTCTCTTAAAGAGTTTCTGGCTCACGTAGGTTATCAGGTTTCCATCCTGGTGGCTGCTGCATATCCAGAGTGAGTGAACTATCTCTCAAAGGTACTTTGAGATGAAAGTTCGTGGATAAATGCGAAGAATTATATTTTTATTTCTTCTCTTTGGCAGGACTATTCTATAACTTTTGTGTTTAGCTTGGAGGGCTCTTATGATTTGATTGCTCTTCTGAATAAGCGAAACAGCCACCTAGATGGCAAGCGCTTCACATTTCAGCATAGCGTAATTTGGTTTGAAAGTTCAATGAAACTCACTTGGAAATGTCCCCCCAGTAATATTTCCTCTCTTAAAAAAACCAGCTTTAAATTCCTGGTTTCATGCATAAACAAGCTTCAGGGAGGCTGAGTGGTGAGTGGCAGGGTGGCTAAAGAAATTACTTTTAACCATTTAAGTGAAATGTTAAAAAAAATGATATTCTCTTCTAACCTCAGAATTTTCACCTTTCAATATCACTTATAATATTCTTATGAGTAATATCCCCACATTTATTTTTGGTTGGTTTGTTTAGGAACTCCAGTCAGTATTCCATTCAGTCAATATTAATATATAGGAGGTCTTTTCTGTGCAAGATATTGTATGGAAACGAAAGATGATGAGAAAGTCTCTTTCTTCCAGACATATTCAAATCTTAAACCCGTAAAGTTACAAAAATCACTAAAAACTTTCCAAAAGAACTGTATGAGTCTATCAAATGCATGTATTTTAATTCGTATACTGCCAGTAGACTGGCATTCACCAAAAGTGGCATTCATTTATGGATCTGGCATTCACCAAAAGTGGCATTTCTAAGGTTTCGATTCCTACTAAGTCTAAACTGCATTAGGCAACTCTATTCTCCTATTTAAAAAGTCCCTTCCTCATATTGTGTTTACATACACACACACACACACACACACGGGTTAGTAGAGGAACTCAAGATGTGTTAAAATAATATTTTTCTTTAAAATTTTTTATTTTTTAAAAATATTACATCTCTTTATTCAAGCCCCTGAAGAACTTAATTACTATGTGAAATTCTCATCTTTCAGATCTTTCAGATAATGAAGCTGAAGTAAATGAAACTTTCCCTACTAATTAGAGCTAACAAGATTTTTGTTCTACAAATAAATATATATGTAAAAGCTCTATTTATTTGGACCTGAGTCCCATGATTGGGATGGGGGAGCATAGGGAGTGGGATGCCACGCCCATCAAAATCAACTGTCTGGACTAAGTTCAGGGCATGGATAGTCTCTAGAATATGCAGGAACATGTGCATCAACTCTAAATTGAGAATAAGATATTTTGATTAATCATCAGTAGGGAGTTTTAAGTTTTAACTACTTATTTAGAACAGGAAGTCTCTACATGTTATTTTACACTTTTTCATTTTCTGCAAACAGGATGGCCTAATACTCGCACATAACTAACTCTACGTGTTGCAAATGTAACAATAGAAGTTTGCCCCGTCCTCTCTCTGAGCTGTGTGATTTCAGGTGAAACAGGAGAGGTACTATGACTATAGCAGAACCTCTCAACACTGAGAAAACAGAATGATTCCTCATAGCACCTATGTTAGATGTCAGGGGTTGCTCTCCTCAACTGTGTATGTGGGAACTCATCCATCTGTCTGCACCATCACAGTGCTGGAGTACTTTGACAAAGGTGCCATTTTCAATCCCAAATTGTATAAAAGAGAAAAAATATTTTGCTGGGTCTTAAATGAGATTCTCAGCTACCTCATCTAATTAAATCGAATCAAATTGAAATCTAGATCAGACATGGCCAGCTTATTCTGTTATTCCAATGTGGACATTTATTGGTAGTTTGAGCTGTTCAACCTCTATCGTTTTCATTTCATATTAACAGGAATTTAGACAAATGACTGAAGTTCTAAATTGAGATGACTTTCTGCTGCATTCTACTGATACAGAGAAATGCACCAAGAAGAGAATATTAAAAGTTCCCCTAAAGGGGCCGGCCTGTGGCTGAGTGGATAAGGTCGCGGGCTCCACTTTGGCAGCCAAGGGTCTCACTGTTTTGGATCCTGGGTGCAGACATGGCACCACTCATCAGGCCATGCTGAGGCGGCATCCCACATAGCACAACCAGAGCCACTCACAGCCAGAAGAAACAACTATGTACTGGGGGGCTTTGGGAAGAAAAGGAGAAGAAGGAGAAGAAGAGGAAGACGACGAAGCAGAAGCAGCAGCAGCAGCAACAGCGGGAACAAAAGAAAAAGATTGGTGACAGATGTCAGCTCAGGTGTCAATCTTTAAAAAGAAAAAAGTTCCCCTAAAGACACAGAGTATTTAAGACATAAAGAATTAACATATGTTAAAATAGTGTAGTTTTTTAAATTTTCATAAAGTATTCATATAATTGCATTTTGTGAATAATCAATGGCACAATACAAAATATCTTACTTAAGGTATTAAGCAGCAATTTGTGTTTTCAGAATGAGACACCCATGCTTCACAGCAGCTACACTTATTTTAGTCAAATTGGCTCAAGTCAGCATGGCTTGAAATTTAATATCACTGCTCCCAGCACCAATAAATGGATATGACAAGGCACCATATATAAAGAAATACCAAAAAACTAACTGAAATTTCAAAATCAATATGACTACCACCTGATGTCTGCAGCGACAATAATTACCAATTAAAGTAGAGGTGAAGGAGGAGCTGGGATCAAAAGGACATCTGCCCCGTCCTCTCTCCCATCTGTGTGATTCCAGGTGAAACAGGGGATCCTTGAAAGAAAACCAGAAATGTCTTTATGAATATTGCAATTTTAATAAGAATGCAGTTGCTCAGATAAAATATATTAAACCTTGATATTTACAAAATAGGTATTGTAAATAGGATACCAGTGAGTAACATCAAGCTATTTAGGAACAAACAGGATCTTGTAAATAAATACATGGGTTTTGCAGGCCCATATGGGTTTTCTCCCTCCTCCCCAAAAGTATGCAGGTGATGAAATGAAAGAAATTCGCAGTGTTTATCACTTGATCAGACAGTATTAGTCATTCGGAGATGTGTCAGTTAAATATTCCAAAGAAATGGAAACTTGCTGAAAAACACAACAGAAGATTCAATGATAAACACGGAAATGGGCTTTTATTCCACAAAGGCCATTATTGATTTTCTGAATACTCTATAAAAGAAAATGATACAATTTTCTATCAGTAATTTGGAACATTTATTTCCAATCATTTTTTATTCTTCATCACATATTCTTTGTGTAGACATCTAATATTTAATAATTTAGAGAATGATTACTGCATAAATAACTACTTGAATATACAGGTATAAACAAATTTCAATCTGGCCTCATACAAAGGAGATAATTGAAAATAAATATTTCCATGAAAAACCACTACTTTATGGGTTCCTATTGCAAGCACATAACCACAGAACTTTTCTCTGAATGTTCTCATATTTCAAAATTCTCATTAATGGATATTTTTATAATCAATTTCCATTAAGTGTGTCATAAACGGTCTCGGTAAAAGAAAATAGTTTGAAAAAGTGACAATAAAAGTCCATATTGAAAATTTGTAGGAAAAAACTACTTTGCAATAGAATATTGTTGATACTGCTGACTGTGGCATCTATGATAACCCTGCCCACCTGTGAATCATGAACCTATAACAATCCTAAATCTGAGTAGCCTCTGAGAATTGCATGCACTTTTCTGGAACTTGATCTTGACTTTCGTAGACATCCCATTTACTCCAAGTTATTTGTTTTGTCCTTATTTTGGCATTCTTATTTGACACACTATCCTTCTTCTCTCTATGATATCTTAAAATCGCCATCCTGATCCTGCCATTCCAAAATCTTTCCCGTAAATGCGAGTTCACATGACCTCTATAACTCTCCAGTCTTATATTCAGAATTGAACCAGAGCTTATAGAACAAATGTGGCCTCCTGGTCCAGAAGTGTGGCTAAACTGATATTTTAAGTCAAAGAAAGTTTTACCTATTTAGACACTTTACACAAATTAGTAGAGAGCAAGAATGCCAGTAAACAATTTGAGACATTTTTGTGTTTACTTCCCACAGATGACAAATTTTCAACAACATGAGAAGAAAACATTCGTTCAAAGGAGCTAGAATTATTGGTCTGCCCAGCTAATACTCATGTTGAAAGGGTTTCATGTAAATTTGTGAAACAGATCCATAGCATTATACGGAGAAGGAAGGGATCAAGTGTATGAATGTTATTCTGGTTTGCCCCTTTAGTCACTGCCACTTTACAGAATATTTGAAAAAAATGGGTAGGATACGCATATTGTATTTTTTCTAATACAGTCAAATGTCCAAATGTTCAGTTATAGAAAGCTGTTGAAGAGATATACTGAACCACTTTCTTAAAGCAAGTCTTTCTGTAGCTTCAAGCCTCTCTGAACTCAACTTTTTATCTCTAATGAAGTTGGTTTATCTAACGAGTATCATTAAACACTTTAAACACTACAATTGAAACTGCAAGAGAACAAGTACATTTCTTCTTTATTCAAGGAAGTACAATACATTCATTTAAATTCAAACTGTCAAGTGGGTGAAACAGATAGAAAACGCTAACTGTAAGAATGCTAAGATCAAGAGAATCTCGGATTTTGAAGAACTGCAAAGTTAGATCAAGGAAATGAAGCGACAATTTCTTAGAAAAGTCACAGGCTTTCATAAATATAAATCATAACCTAGGCTTCTGAGGCTATTGTTGATTTGTGAATTTCAGCATGTTTCTGAGATAGCAAGTATCTGACATATCAGTGTCTTCAACTTTTAAGAGAAGTAAATTGAATCTACTGGAAACTATTCACAAAGAAGCCTACAACCCTAACATTTTGAAAACAATTAAGTGGAACCCAGAATCATGCTGGAATTTTTAACTATGTATGAGGCACAATTCTGTGCTATACGTAAATCTATTTGAGTCTGTAAAATGACATGCTCTTTTATGAAACCTCAAATTTGACATTGAGAACACATGAGTAGTGAATATTGAATAACTCATATATTCTCAGAGACCTATGCCTCAGGTCTGACACAGATGTACCTTGACTGAACCCTTCCCATCTTTCTCTAGAAGACTTCAAATACCTCTCTCTCATTTGTTTGATTAATGGCTAATCACATAAATGGCTACCTCAACAAATAGTTATTTAAAATAAGGAACAAGCTAAATTAAAAATTTTTGCTTGCTTTTTATATCACTATTAAGAACCCATATTTGTGAATAGCTTAAAGGATAGACATATCTATCATTTTAATTTAAAAAAATGCATGTGTTGTAAATATACACCTACATCAAATTATCACAATGCACACATATCTTACAATTTTATTTGCTAATTATACTTCAGTAATGCTGAAAAAAATGCATGTATTCTGCAGTTTATAATTTTTCAGGCCACTAATCATTAAAAAATAGATAAAACTATTGGAATTTCCCTGCATTAGATAAGCACCATTATCTTTATGTACAAAGAGAAGAAAGGTCCAAATTTTTAGAAGATATAGTCACTTCATCCATATATAACACTTGGTTAATAATACAGTCATGCACCGGATAACAACGCTTCAGTCAATGATGGACGGCATACACAACAGTGGTCCCATAAGATTAGTACCATATAGCCTAGGTGTGTAGTAGGCTATAACATCTAGGTTTGTGTAAGTGCACTCTATGATGTTCACACAACAACGAAATCGCCTAATGATGCATTTCTTAGAACATATCCCCATCACTAAGCAACACGTGACTGTACTCTGGGAGTCAAATAATACAAAAGTGGACAACAGTGTCAAACTGGATTATAGATTGTGATACTTCTTAAATTTGAGGACTATTGTAATGTGTATTTTGTAGACTATAATATTTGTAACAAAACAATGACAGTTGTTTTGGACACTTGAAAATTCTATAACTCCTCTCACTTTGCATAGGTCTTCTTTGACCCTGTCCCCAAACTTGGCTGATTGTTACGGGAACATTTTAGTTACTAAATTAAGATGTCATTACATAGCACAGAAAGCTCTATATTTATTTTTATTAATCAGAACATATCTTACCTCAGGAGTGTAATACAGGTGCTGTCAATACCTTTTATTTAAATCATTGTATGCCTTTAAAACAGTAATATTGTATCCCTGCTTTTTATTTTATTTTTGAGTTACTAAGTTGTAATAAAAATATGTTGCCTTTTTTTTCAACAAAGGCTATCGTGATGTTATTACTAAAATAACATTTGATAGTAAAAGCTAGTAAAGGGTTGACACTTTTCATATGAGTGACTTGAAAGTCTAAGCATGGCTATGATCACACGCAACTTTACATTACTATTATCTGGAGCCCAGCCTCGTTTGTTGATAAAAGCAATAGCTTCATCAGAACTGTTCAGTGAATTTCATCTAAGCACATTATGTGCATCATACCCTTAAAGCATATTTGGATGACACCTCAGAGCAGTTACACAAAAGAAGTCAACACCAGAATAAGTAAGAACATGAAGTTATCTTTCACTTGCTAAATCAATGCTTTATGACATTGTAAACAAAGAAGTCTGTGGGTAAGGCTAATCAACCCTAGAAATGGTTTGCCTCTTTTATAAACATACTCAAAACTCACATTTTTTTTACCCATCAGTCTTCGTTAATAACAAGTAGAGGATTTCCATTGAATAAATAATGAAACGTAAAGTTCAGGAAGGTAATTTCTATTAGAGATAATATGAATATTAAAACTATATTTCTCACCCAATTATATTGCTCCTCCCCAAACTTTCCACCATACCTTCTGAAATCCCTATTTCATGATAAGTAAATCCCTAAAACCACGCTCAATTTGCAACATGTTTCAACACCTCTTTGCCTTAATTGCCTAAGCTCCCATATTAGGCATAATTATGGTGCCTCAAATATGTCCACACCCTAATCCCTGGAAGTTGTGAAGATCTTACCTTTCATGGCAGAAGGGACTTTGCAGATGTGATTAAGCGAAGGATCTCCAGATGGGGAGATTACCCTGAATTATCTAGGTGGACCCAAGGTAATCACATGAGTCCTTAAAAGAGTCAGAGAAGAAGATGTGATGATGATAGCAGAGAATCACCAGAGTGATGTAGTGTGGGGAAGACTAGACCTGCCATTCATTGCTGGCTTTGCAGATGGAGGAATGTGACTATGAGCCAAAGAATGTGGATGGTTCTCTAGAAACAGAAAAATACAAGGAAATGGATTCTCTCCCTAGATCTTCTGGAAGAAATGCAGCAGTGTTGACAGCTTGATTTCATCCCAGTGAGAATCATTTCAAAACTTCTCACTTACAGAACCGTGAGATAAAAAAATTTGTGTTCTCCTAAGCCACTAAGTTTGTGGTAATTTGATACAGCAGCCATAGAAAACTAATGCAGCTCCTATGAAGGTATTGCTTCCTGCCCAAAGGCTTTTGAATGGTGGCTCTCTTTTTACCAAGACTCTATATTCCGGAAGACAATATTAATATTATTCAGGCTCCTGTCATCCAAATTCCAAACTAATACACAATAAATCATTCTTATCAAGACTCATGGCATGCATCTGTGCAATCCTTTCAACATTTGTTGCTAACATCTACACCTCATCCACCTTCACAACCACATCCACTTTCACAGTGTTCTTCCACATCCTAAATTCACCTTTATGCTGGATAATTTCAGTGTCCATGTGTCCAATTCACAACCCAACCACTTGGTTCCTATCT